TATATATATATATATATATATATATATCTCACCAGTAATATATGTGAATTGTAGTACTGCTATCCTGCCAGACATGTAGTATGTAGTTGCAATGTCTGAGTGTGGTTCTGGCTGATAGTGTGGAAGGCCTTGATGTAAAAAAACAAGAAGGAGGGAGAAAAAAGGGGGGAGACATGAGGATTACAAGCCTGTAGGCAGCCTTCTACTTCAAAAGATGTAATGACTATAACTGACTCGCTTCAGAGTCCATTACGTAAGGACATCACACTCCCTGCCCTCTTCACTTCTCAGTAGTACTGTATTTAAGAAATTCTCTTTTTTAGGGAGAGACTATTAAAAAGCGAAAGAAAGAAAAAGCCCATGAAATAAGGGACGTAAACTGGAAATGCTTAAAAAATGAACTGAGCATGCGTGTCTGTCTGAAGTATGTGTGGGGAAAAAAAGAGTGTTAAAGGGACGCTGAATAAGGGTTATACCTCTCCTGAAGACACAGACTACAGCAGGAAAGAACTGCTCCGGCTTCCTTCCATGATTGCCTGTAGCTGTTATCTTCTAACCTCACTATTGTAGCAGCCATACTGTAGAAGATCTCCTCCTGCTGGCCTGAACCACTGAATGCCAAAAGGCAGCTTTTTATTTCAGCTGGCAAAATAGCTTTAGGTGTCCGAATAACAGCACCTTTGAACTGATAGTGAAATACAGAATATTGTATTTAAATATGTTTTGTGTTTGGCGGATGTCTACCGTGACTATTTTTGGGGTAATTGTTTACTACTGCTCATGAGTGGTGGCAGTAAGGACGATAGGTGAAGTCTTACCTTTCCACCCTGGTGTGTGTTTGTGTGTGTGTGTGTTTGTGTGTCATTCTTGCACTTTTTTCCCTTTTTTTTTTTTTTTTTTGTAAAAATCAACCCTCGGTGGGGCACATACTGTACTTTCTTTAGGCTGCCCAGGTAACGTCTTGTTCAACATAAGGAGGTGGTAAGATCTCATCCCCCTGACGCCACCTTACCTCACCTTTCTGTGTCCACTGCTGATGAACAAAGTGCGTTCAGAGGAGTTTTGGACTGCTTCTCCTCAGTGCCAACGAAAAGCCCAGGCAGCTTTCCCAAACCTCACACAAACTAATCTCCAAACTCTGAACTCTGAACTCCGAGGGGAAAAAAATGGGAATACCAAACGTTCGCTGGACGCCCAGAATCCGTTGTTTCTTGTACAAACTTCCTCTTGTAATTTTATTTTAGAGTCACTGTGAATACCTGGTACCAGCATATTAAGATACAGTATATACAGATTAAATTATGAATCGAAAACTTTATCAGTATGCGAAGATACTGTACGTACAACTGAACCGCTCCATGTTAGTGCATTGGGTTGTGTATGCCTTCCTTTTTGCAGGACGATGACCAATAACCAATGCAGACGAGTATTGATCATGGCCGGCGGGCTCCCGTTTGATCTCCTCTTCATGCTGAAGCCTCGAGGGCCGCGAGAAGACCCGTTTTACTGTATCTTGTATAGTTATTTAGATTGTAGGAGAGGTTGGTGAAGCATGAGAATGTGCCAAGCAACTTCTGAGCTCCCCTCTGTATGTGTGTATCTATAAAATGTAACTTATTAATCAGTGCAAATGTGGATTTTCTTGTAGCTGTTTTAACTGGAGGAAAGTCGTGAGGATGAAAATGTGAAACAAGGCAGAAAGGAAGTGGGCTTGCTTCTAAGTTTGACTTTCTTTTGTAGACGACCAGCAACTATGATATAAGATGACAAAATGCTATCTGAAACTCTTTAATGTAACTATGGGTCTTGTTATTGTTCGAGCTTTTTCAGCTATAGCTCTTTCATATTTGATAAGGTCTTAAAAATAACACCATTAGGTACGCCTTAATGTGTAAATCAGAAAGGATGGTCCAACTGGTCATACTGGTGTTAATGTGAAGGCTTATTTCTCTGACTTTGTGCCTACCTTAAAAAAAAAAAGTAATGTATGCTAACCCAGCTTAGAGTTTTAATTTCTTTGACTTTGGTTGCACTTTTGTTTTATTTCCATTTTATTTTATTTTTATTTTTTTGTGCCAGATGAAGGATTTTCTAAGAGACGACAACATCTGGTCTCATCCCGCTGGTTGAGGAAAAGTCATTTGGGTATTTTGGTACCACGTGATCTGAAGATCGGATAATAATAATAGATGTGTGTTGTTAATCTCAAGCATCACTGAAGCTTCACACAGCTCGACAAGTACCACAGATTGTTAAGAGAAGCGACATATAAATATATATATGATTTTTAAAAGTCAATAAAAAGGAAAAAGGTGCTTAAAATGACGGCTGATGATGCGTTGAAATCAACACAGTGAATTTGATGAACTCGGTCTGATTCACCTATTAGAGATGATTGTGTGATTTTTAAAAATGCACTTTAATAATTTCAAAGGGATAAATGTTGGGAGAGACAACGGTCACCGTCTGCTTAACCTGATATGACATCAAATACCCTGAAAGCAGATTACAAGGAGAAATCATATATTCTGTGTTGGCTTGGATTTTTCAAATCTGGAATCTGAGGGATTTTGTGGATCACGGAGCAGGCAGGTCACTCTTTTAAAAACTAAACTGTGAGAAAAGACTACTCTTTTTAACTTCAATGCCGTTTGAGCTGTAGCACAAAAGTTCACATTTTTGGCTGGCCTTTAAAAACTCTAGAGCTTTTAAAGGAACTATCTTCATCCAGTTTTTGGTGAAGATCTATACTTTAGCGACTACAGAAAGTTTGATCTTTGCCAGAACAGTCGGATGAATTTGTCCAAGAACAGAACGACTGTGACGAAGGAACAGGTGAAAGCAGCTCAGAGTTTGGTAACAGCATGATGAGTCACACAGAGGTGAAAGAGACCAAATCAGATTACTGAAAGCACGTAAAAGTATGATTATAAGGCAGGAAGAAATACACTCGTCAGCCAGTTCATTAGGTACACCTGTTGTTAACACATATCTAACCAGACAATCACATGGCAGCAACTCAGTGTGCTTGGGCGTTTAGATGTGGTCCACACAACCTGCTGAATATCAAACTAAGCATCAGAATGAGGAAGAAAGCTATTTAAGTGACTATGAGTTTTACAATGCCAGATAAGCTGGTCTGAGTGTTTTAGAAACTGCTGATCTCTTGGGATTTTCCCACACGTTTACAGACACCAGATCCAAAAAGAGAAAATATCCAGTAAGCTGCGGTTTTCTGGGCCTTGTGGGGACGCTAGAAATCACATAAGGAAGCAGGTAGACAAGCAACATTGGTTAAAATGACCACTTGTTACATTGAACGTATGCAGAAGAGCATTTGTGAATACACAAGGCATTAAACCTTGAAGCAGATGGCTCCAGCAGCAGGAGACTGCACCCTGTGCTACTCCTGTCAACTAAGAACAGCTCACCAAAATTGGACAATTGAAGAATGGAAAAAACTCGGCTGGTCTGATGAGTCTCATGTTCTGCTGTGACATTCAGAGGGTCGGGTCAGAATTTAGCGTGAACAACATGAAAGCATTGATCCATCCTGCCTCGTATCATTGGTTCATGAGGATGATGTAATTGTGTGGGGGATATTTTATTGGTGCACTTTGGCCATCTGTGTATTCAGAAGCAGTACTTTTGCATCCATAATAATGTTGAGTTCTTCTATATCTGCTGTCTACAGGTAATAGTTGAGGTGTGAATCCATCCTTGTTCTGGAAAAGCATGATTTAAAACACTATCGCTTTGCATTGAACACTAAAACCATTTAAATCAGAATAAAATGTCTCACATCCATAGGCAATAACCAGTTTTATCAAACTTTTATTCTATTCACAATAACAAAAAACAGTTTCTAATAAATATAGCATCAAATTGTACTAAAGAATATAAATAAATAGATATATACATGTATATAGCATATGTGCTTATAGACTGCACAGGTTGGATATTTAGTGAAAGGACACATGCCATTGTTTATTTATTGTTTATTACCGGTATTTATTACTGAGAACGAAAAAGAATCCTTACACACCCTCTTCATCCTGTGGGTGCAGAGCTGAAAAAATAGGACAAAGAAAATGAAGAATGGTTTGCACATTGCAGAACTCCAGATTCCTTACTTGTTGTATCTGGTGACATTTGAAGCACTTCTGCTATTCATCAGACAATAAAAAACCAAGCAGCACCATCTTAAATCACCTGTGAAAGGTCACATGACCAATAACGTTTATTAGGATTGAGATCTTAAATAGAATAAACAGTCGGTTAGCGAAATCAATGAGTTAAACACGTGCCTCGTTTTTAGGCATTTGTTTCCTTCAATATGTACATTTTTTTACTTATTGTTTATCCTATATCCTCCCGAGAGCCGCGGCAAACCATAGACACGTTGGTGTTGAAGTATTTTAGCATGTGGAAGATCTGTGACCGTGACACTTGACCAACTTGAAAATGCATCCAAGAAACAGACAGCTTAACTTCCTGGTTGTCACTTGGATCAGCTGAGCAAGCACCGTGCGGTGACAGGCTCTGGCCCTGACAGTTCAAAACTCCACCATAACAATATCAGCTGGCAAGTTGGGCGCAGTTTTGTTTGTCGAGATGCTCTCTGTCATCAAACATCCCACAGGGGAACTGAAAATGCTGACAGTGTAAACTACATCGCACATTGAGTTTAATCTGGCTCATGTTTTGAAATAACGAGACCACATTCGCACTTTCCCATAACTTTCCTTCCTTGCGAAGGAGAAACAGCACATCCAAGCAGACGAGCATGTTATTGCTAAGGAGATGTAATGTTTCCCAAGTTCACCATGTTAGTTTAGCAAGGCAGCACCTCGTAATGAACACTCAAGTGCAGATGAGGCTGATGATCACCCCATCTTTGCATT